TCATAGCCACAATTTTGTCATTTGTGACTTCTTTTTCACAATTTTGGCTCATCGCATCTTTTTTGACCGAAAAGATCGTTGACATTCGTTGAGATATTGAAGAATTCGGTCTCTTTCTTTTCTTCGCATATCCGATCGGACATCAATTCATTCTATCTTTTTCTTTTTCTTTTCTTTTCTTTTCTTTTCTTTTCTTTTCTTTTCTTTTCTTTTCTTTTCTTTTCTATTCGATTCTTATTCTCTTTTCCCATATCGGTGAGTAATCTTGTGGTAGTCGAAGTGATTCATTTCACTCAAAAATGACAGCTAACTCCGCCACCATTACTTCGGCTTATCTCATTTCAATATCTCAACTTTTAACCATGTCAACTGAATCATTTACTCAAGATTTAGCCTTTAGAAATCTTGTAAAAAGTTTTATCTTTATCTCAGCTCGATGAATTAACCAATTCATTTTGGATTCAGTGGCCAATCTAGTAGTTGAATACCTTTTTCCGTAAAGTACTCGACTTCTCTCATTCTATTCCTTTGTTAAGCAATAAAACTGGACTTCCAAAGCATGTTTAGATCAATTTAGATGCATTTTGATGAGTTGTAGTTTAAAATAAACTTGTATTTGAAATGCAGAACAATTAACTTTGCAAATCCAAAAAAGCAAATGAAAAAGCCGCACAGCGGACTCGAACCCGAGACCTTGTATTCTGACCTGCACCTTGTAGCCTAACACACTGCCACTCGGCCACCACTGCCTCTCGATGCCTTAAGGAAAATCTGGTTATATTGGGTTGATGGAAAAGTCCTTTCGGATTTTTTGGGAGAGTACCTTAAATTTGTCCAATATTTTTTGATACCTAAGCGAACATCGTAGCATAAACCAGTGTCGAGAATTCTCCAGATAACTCCAGAAACTCAATTAGTCATTTTTAGTTGTTTGATTAGTTTGATTATACAATCTATTTCATTCAATATATTGGGTTGATGGAAAAGTCCTTCCGGATTTTTTGGGAGAGTACCTTAAATTTGTCGAATTTTGGCGTTTTATAACTCATCCTAAAGCTGAATTCAAGACGGATCGATTGGTAAAAACCGTTTTGAGATATCTCTTTTCTAAAAGTTTTTACAGCTATTTTAGTAAAGGGCGGCAGAGCCAAAAAATGGCTGTTTTCACGTTTCGTTAGTTTTCCGTGCAGAAACCTAGGCTAAAAACATGTTATTCGTGATCAGCGTCAAAAATAACCCCTAGACACGCATTTTCAGAATCTTAGCAAAAATTTTTTGAAAATATTGTCACCGGTGGGAGTCGAACCAGCGACCATCAGATCAATAGCCTTTCCGCCGCTTTCCGCCGATTTTCCTTCGTTTTTCTCGTTTTTCTCGTTTTTCTCGTTTTTCTTGTTTTTAAAAAAAAGTTGTCCAGCCAAAGTTCGCACCAAGCTGGCGCTAATAGCTCAGTGGTAGATGCTCATCTGGCCGATAAGCAGAAGGTCGAGGGTTCGATTCCCTTCGACTCGAAACTCTTTGCCATTAATCTTTTTGACTTGATTACTATTAAACATTGATTTTTCTTAACTAAATATAGGCTTTTTTCATGCTAAGCCTTTAAAGCAAACCATCAACTCGTTTCTAGATTGATTGGATAACTGAATCTAGTTTTCTTTCATCTTTAGCAACAAAATTAGCATCAAATCATCAAATTATCAATTTCTGTTGTCATAAAATCATTTCCATCATCATATTAACGATTTCAGCAATTCCGGCAAGCAAGTCATTCCGGTAAACTTGCAGAATCCACAAAAAAACCTGTTTATCTGCAAGTTTTTCTCATTTTTTTCTCATTTCTATTTTCAGGTATTTCCATCTCCCAAAGCCCATGTTTCACTATGTTTTTTGATATTTTCTTATGGCCCAAAGCCATGTGTCCCATTCTCCCTCTCTCTCAGTCTCTTTTCACTCGAAAATTCCATTGAAAAGAAAGCTCTTTTCGATATAAAGATCCGAACATTTGTCTTCGTTTGTTTTCATCAATCTTTTTCTTTTTTTCATCTTTTTTTTCGTCTTTTTATCCAGGTGTACACATTTGAAATATCACCTCCAAAATGATACGAGAGCTAAGTTTTGAATCGTACTAGAATGAGCTAAGGTTTGAGTCGTACTAGAATGAGCTAGTCTTTGAATAGTACTAGAATGAGCTAAGCTTTGAGTCGTACTAGAATGAGCTAGGGTTTGAATAGTACTAGAATGAGCTAAGTTTTGAATAGTACTAGAATGAGCTAGTCTTTGAATAGTACTAGAATGAGCTAGGCTTTGAATAGTACTAGAATGAGCTAAGCTTTGAATAGTACTAGAATGAGCTAAGCTTTGAGTCGTACTAGAATGAGCTAAGCTTTGAATAGTGCTAGAATGAGCTAAGCTTAGAATAGTATTAGAATGAGCTAAGCTATGAATTAGAATGAGCTAAGCTTTGAATAGTACTAGTCAGTTGGCTTGTGTACTCTAAACTCGAAACTAAACTCAAAACCAAACACACGTTTCCATTGCACTGTTTCTTGTGAGAGCAAATCGTTAAGTGTTAATCGTCAAATCGTCAAATATGCTTAGTTGGACCGAAATTTCGACTTTAATTTGTTCAGAAATGTGTGTAGATTCCCTTTTTAAGCTTCAATTCTATAGAAATGATTTTAGTTTGCCAAAATTTGTTTCAAAGATTCAAAGAAGATTCAAATTCAACAAGACTCAAACGCAAATCCTTTCTCTAGAATAGCTGTATTTCTGTGGTAAGCTGGGTAGAGAAATCGTAACATAAAGCCACTTGTTAGAGCATCAAAAAAGCTTGCGAAAGGCTTATTCTTGATCTTTCTTCTCCCATATGGTTGTCTCGATCATATTCAGTTTAGTTTTTCCATCGCTTCTTCCCCTTTTCCCTCATCATTTCCACCATGTGTGGCCCATTGAATTGGCCCTCATTGAATTGGCTGTGTGGCCCATAAGCTTTTGAACATTGTACTTTTGAACATACTTTTTCGTTTCTCTTTCATTTCTCTTTCATTTCTCTTTCATTTCTCTTTCTAAGACTTTCAGAGTTTTTGTGAGGCTACTTGTGGGTGTTCTACTCACAAGTAGACTACTAACAAGTAGACTACTCACAAGTAGACTACTCACAAGTAACTCTCTCTCTCAAAAACTCACTGATTTTTAATAGAGCTTTTTTAAGCCTAATTAAGCCCAAAATTGCTATGAAATGGAATAGAAACATCTTTAACTCTAATAGCCAGCCTTATTCTTTGTACTTTAAGCTTGAATCTTGCAAACACATCACTTCTAGTGCACTTAACTCATTCTATTCTCTCCTTGTGCTAAATCTCTGTAAGAAAAACGAAGAATTAAGAAGAAAGAATGATTTTACATTGTCAAGCCATTCTTTAATGGCTTTCAGCTCTTTCAGCTCTTTTTGCTGTACGTTGTGAAGCTGTAAACTGAATCGATCACTTGAATCGATCACTTGAATCGATCACTTGAATCGATCACTTGAATCGATCACTTGAATCCATCAAATCACACTGTGCCAGAAGACGTGCGTTTGCATCAGTAAACCGGGTTCAAATTACAGTGATGATAGAGCTATTTCCGACTCCGAAAATTCTCGATAATCGCCAGTTCTTTGAAAATCATCCACTCCTTTTTTCTCACTTAGTTACTCATGTTTTTCTCGAAAATTTCTAACCACAAATTTTCGCGTCAAAGTTTATTCAAATGTGAAATGTTCAACAGTAGAAAGAGATCCCAAAAATGGCTCTTAGAGGAATTTCTTGGCGAGAAAATTTACGGAAATTGGAATGCCCATTGAAGCGAAATTTCAGAATTGACTTTTCTAAGCGAAATTTTATATTTTAAGGCTTTTATTTATTTTTAGGCTTAGTGATTTAGCGTAAATGGATTTTTAGATTATAATCCGTTTACGCTAAATCACTTTGCGACTACTTTACGCCAAATTTTCTTTTTTGCGCAACTGGATCTTTTGCGCAACTCACATCTCGCAACTCGATAACTTTCTTCTGAATAAGCGAATCTTTATGATTTTGATGTCATTTTAATGCAATTGTTGAGATCTACAAAATGATATCAAAAAATCATAAAGATTCGTTTAATTAGAAGGGAAGAAGAACTTGGGGAGTTGGCAAAGAAGTTATGATGAGTTGCGCAAACGATCCAATTGCGCAAACGCTCCAGTTGCACAGACAATCCAGTTGCACAGACGATCCAGTTGCGCTAACTATCCAGTTGCACAGACAATCCAGTTGTACAGACGATCCAGTTGCGCAAACGATCCACTTGACAGACGATCCAGTTGCGCTAACTATCCAGTTGCACAGACGATCCAGTTGCGCTAACTATCCAGTTGCACAGACGATCCAGTTGCGCAAACGATCCACTTGACAGACGATCCAGTTGCGCTAACTATCCAGTTGCACAGACAATCCAGTTGTACAGACGATCCAGTTGCGCTAACTATCCAGTTGCACAGACGATCCAGTTGCGCTAACTATCCAGTTGCACAGACAATCCAGTTGTACAGACGATCCAGTTGCGCTAACTATCCAGTTGCACAGACGATCCAGTTGCGCAAACGATCCACTTGTGCAGACGATCCAGTTGCACAGACGATCCAGTTGCTCCAGTGCGCAACTGGAGCAACTGGATCGTTTGCGCAACTCATCATAACTTCTTTGCCAACTCCCCAAGTTGGCAAAGTTCTTCTTCCAGACGATCCAGTTGCGCAAAGTAACCACCGCCTCCATTACTTGTTTTATTTTCAATTTCAAATGTTTTCTTGTTTATCGAAGTTTAGTTATTTTCAGTTTACCTCATCATTTCATCATTTCTCATCTCATCATTTCCACTTTTCAGAAAAAGTGGCGGGTTGTGGTTTACCGCCGTCCTTCTCTTCGGGTGGTGGCACCTCTTTGGCCACTGTGCTCGAGAATTTACCCCTTTCTTATAATATGGATGGAAGGAATTTGGATCGAACAGCCTCGTTGGCTGATGGAGTCAGCAGTGACAGAAGTGATGGTCGGTTTTGGAGAGTTGTAAAGAGTTTGAAGTTAGATTTAAAGAAAAGCAACAAGTTTAAGTGGGATAAACGGTGAATTTAGACAAATTTTACTAGAGATCAAATGAAATAGAAATTAAAGATTCCTAGCAGACAAGATTTCTAGTTAAGAGTTGATTAACTCTTGTGAGTTATCTAATCCAGAGGAATCGGAAGTATTTGACAGACAGTTTCTTTAAATTATCCATCTGGATAGACATGGGCACTATAAACTATAAAAATGACGAACTGTCAGATTACAAACGCTTCTAACTAGCTTTATAACTAACGGATTGTGATGATCTATAGCTCAAAAAATAGATAATCTCAAGAGCTTTCGAATGGATTAAAGCAGATCCAAAAATATCAATTCTAAAGAAAGTTACAGTGGTTTGTAGCCTGGTTCGATCTCTTCGACTACAAGTACGATCCGTCAGGCTACAACTTCCTTTAGAATTGATATTTTTGAGTGTGCTTTAATCCATTCGAAAGCTCTTGAGATTATCTATTTTTTGAGCTATAGATCATGTCAATCCGTCAGTTATGAAGCGAGTTAGAAGCAGACTCGATGGCTTCGACTACAAGTACGATCCGTCAGGCTACAAACCATTGTAACTTTCTTTAGAATTAATACTTTGGGATGTCCTTTACTCCATTCGAAAGCTCTTGAGATTCTCTATTTTTTGAACTATAGATCGTGTCAATCCAATAAATTTAAACCAAGTTAGAAGTGTTTCTAGTCTAACTTTGTAGTTTTTAGTGTCCATGTCTGGAAATCTTTGACTAACTTTATACTATACGTTGATATTATTGTAAAGAGTTCTAGAAAGCAAACTTCACTATAGGATTTTATGTACTTTTTTAAAATTGCAGAAACTCGTCCCTTCAAACGCGGTCATATGAGGCGTTCCTCTTACGAGAGCGCTCAAATTCAATTGGATTTCTCGAGGCGATCCGATGCGAGAGCGAGAAGAGCTGCTTCATTGCATGCATCACTCAATAAGTGAGTTCAATATTTCCTTGCCTTGTTAGCAATAGCACACAAGCTTTGTTTGATACTGCTCAATCATCTGCCAATCATTCTTCTTCTTCCTTCTTCTTCCTTCTCCTACTCCTTCTTCCTTCTTTCCTTCTTCTTCTTCTTTCTTCCTTCTTCTTCTTTTTCCTTCATTCTTCTTCTTTTTCCTTCCTTCTTCTTCCTTCTTCTTCTTCCTTCTTCCTTCTACTTCTTCTTCCTTCTTCCTCCTTCTTCTTCTTCTTCTTCTTCTTCTTCTCCTTCTTCTTCTTCTTCTTCTCCTTCTTCTTCTTCTTCTTCTTCTCCTTCTTCTTCTTTCCTTCTTCTTCTTCTCCTTCTTCTTCTTCTTCTTCTTCTTCTTCTCCCTTCTTCTTCTTCTTCTCCTTCTTCTTCTTCTCCTTCTTCTTCTTCTTCTTCTTCTCCTTCTTCTTCTTTCCTTCTTCTCCGACAAGGAAAACACAGCACAAGGCAACCTTTCCCTTCCGAGTCTTCTTTGAAACCATAAACCCACGTTTACTGGCGCACTGAAATCCTTATTTCTCTCGCAATATCGATACAAATAAAGACACACAAATGCTACAAGAAAAATAAAGAGTACAATGAGAAAGGAGTGTTTCCATTTCCATAGGATAAAGTACACGAATGTTCGACAATTTTGAAATGACTCGTTCTCTCAAAAAATCTCTTTTCCCCTTTACTCCAAAAAATTACAAATTGATGACCAGTGAGTCACTTTTTTTCCCCAAAAAAATCAACCTTTTCATTACATATTTTCTTGATTATTTGAAAATAGAAAATGACAGATGATCTTGTCAAAAGAAATGTTAAACGTTTGCCTTTTGTCTGAGTGATTGCCGTTTGATCCTTGAATTGATCAATGAGTGCAAAGATGAGAAATTGATGGCCAGCATCGTTTTGTCTTTTAGGGCAATTATCGAACAAAAAAAGTGAATCAAAAAGTTGCACAAGTTCTGAAGAAATTTACCGCAGAACATTTGCGGATTGAAAAGTTTTAAGTGACAACGAGTGGGCTAGTCAAAACAAAGCACACAAATTGTTTAAAAATTGAAAGGAATTTTTTTGCAAAAAACGCTTGTACTTTGTTTTAGAAAGAAATGAAATTTTCTTTCCCGCCGACCCGTTTCTTTTTTTGTCTTTCTCTTTCTATCTTTCTCTTTCTGTCTTTCTCTTTCTGTCTTTCTCTTTCTATCTTTCCCTTTCTATCTTTCTCTTTCTGCCTTTCTCTTTCTATCTTTCCCTTTCTGTCTTTCTCTTCCTGCTTTCTCTTTCTGTCTTTCTCTTTCTGTCTTTCTCTTTCTGTCTTTCTCTTTCTGTCTTTCTCTTTCTGTCTTTCCCTTTCTATCTTTCTCTTTCTGTCTTTCTCTTTTTGTCTTTCTCTTTCTGTCTTTCTCTTTCTATCTTTCTCTTTCTATCTTTCCCTTTCTATCTTTCTCTTTCTGTCTTTCTCTTTCTGTCTTTCTCTTTCTGTCTTTCCCTTTCTATCTTTCTCTTTCTGTCTTTCTCTTTTTGTCTTTCTCTTTCTGTCTTTCTCTTTCTATCTTTCTCTTTCTATCTTTCCCTTTCTATCTTTCTCTTTCTGTCTTTCTCTTTCTGTCTTTCTCTTTCTGTCTTTCCCTTTTTTGCTCTTTCTCTTTTTTTCCAGACTCAAGACAGGTTCTCGAGATGATTCCATTCGTTTAAGTCGATCTTTTCTTCCTTTTTTTCCTTTTTTTCCTCTTTTTTCTCTTTCAGTTTCTCATTTTCAATTCAAATTTTCTTATTTTAAAACTTATAATTAGAAAATATAGAACGATACGTTGATATTATTGTAAAGAGTTCTAGAAATCGAATTCAGTATAGGATTTTATGAGTTGTTTCTTTTTAATACTTAAATCCGTTTAAAATGCAGAATAATATTGAAATTTGAAGCTAAGTTTAGCTAAAAATGAGCTAAAAATTAGCTATCAAGATCTTCAGCTAATGTTTCTTTCGTATTTTCTTTCGATAATATTCCTTCAGCTCTTGTCTCCTTTGAAATCTCTTTTCCCGTGATCCCTCTTTTCTTTTTCCCTCTTTTCGTTGTAGATATCGACCGCTTCTCGGAGCCATTTTCCCCCCGGTTTCCCCCTTTTTTTCGTTTTGTTTTCCGTCCGTTCATCAATTACGATTTTTTTTTCTTTTTTCTTTTTCTCCTACTTCTACTTCTGCTTCTTTCCAACATCAGAACAAACCAAAATCTTCTTTTTAAGCTATTTTAACTACCTGGCCTTGATAGAGCCTTGATAGAGCCTTTTATTACATCCAAATGTTCATCATTATCTCAATTAAACAAAACATTAACATCTTTAATTCATTACCTAGAAAACATGTGATACTGGCTTTAAAAGGCTAATGGATTTTAATGGCTAATGACTTTAAAAGACACTTTTTCTTTTATAAAAACCATTTTCCCTGGAGTCCCCATTTCCCCATTTCCCCTGGATGACGCTGATCACGAAAAAGAGGCAAGAGCGTTCACAGAAAACAATTTTGCGGACACTTTCTAAAATGCACTAGCTATCGTAATCCATTTAGAGCAATTCGCAATTCGCAATTCCATTTTTCCATTGCTTGAAGCCATTTTCCGTTGTTTTTATGAATTTTTCACCGTTTTTCTTTGCCATTTCATCGCAAATTCATCAAGATCAACAGCCAGCCTAGAACAGCTAGCCTAGAACAGCCAGCCAGAACAATCAACCTAAAAACAAAAGAAAAAAAAAAAAAAAAAAAAAAAAAACAAAAAAAAAAAAAAAAAAAAAATAAAAAAAATAAAACAACGTAAAAAAGAAAAGAAAAAAAAAAAAAAAAAAAAAAAATAAAAAATTAAAAAAGTTTCTGTGGTTGTTTCGTTAAAAGTTTTGGCAATTCGACATTTGTGTTCGTCCATCTCTCTGTAAAAAGTCATTAAAACAAAGCGAACCGTTCCAGAAAAAAATAAAAAACACTTAACTTCTGTTATAGCAATTGATGTTATAGCTGTTCTAGGCTAGCTGTTCTAGGCTAGCTGTTCTAGCTGGCTGTTCTAGCTGGCTGTTCTGGCTGGCTGTTCTAGGCTAGCTGTTCTAGGCTAGCTGTTCTAGCTGGCTGTTGATCTTGATGAATTTGCGATGAAATGGCAAAGAAAAACGGTGAAAAATTCATAAAAACAACGGAAAATGGCTTTAAGCAATGGAAAAATGGAATTGTGAATTGCGAATTGCTCTAAATGGATTACGATAGCTAGTGCATTTTAGAAAGTGTCCCCAAAATTGTTCTCTGTAAACGCTCTTGCCTCTTTTTCGTGATCAGCGTCATCCAGGGGAAATGTTTGGTGTTTGATGAAAAAGATTGTGCCCCAAAGCCTATCTACTATATATAAAGCAGTCCGCCCGTCCGTCTGTGCTCGTTCATTGGCTTAGATTTGCTTAGATGAGATGACTTAGATTGGCTTAGATTGCGTGGAAAACGCGAATGTTAGCGAGCGTTTTCCGCTGGTATTGCCAGAATTTGTTAAGAATTCCGCTGGTATTGCCAGAATTTGTTAAGAATTCCGCTGGTATTGCCAAAACACAAGTCTAAAGTTTCAGACCGGGTCTCAGTGAGTCAAGCTCGGCTCAGCAAATGTCTTTGAGTGATCGAATGGACGCGTCGAGTTGTGAAGGATCGTCCACTGGGACAACTGACAGCGGGATTGGAGGTAAAGTCTTTTGAGTAAAGGGACTTTAAAGGAACTGAATAGGAACTATAAACGAACTATAAACGTACTATAAACGAACTATTAAAGTTTAATTTGTCGTAAGTTTACGAAAAAGTTTCATGTAAAAAGTTCGTCAAAAGTTCTTTGACCTCACTGAATGGGTTTATCGATTTTAAGGTAAATATCAATCAAATTTTAGCTAGCAATTTGCTAATTGGTTAGCTAATTGGCTAGCTAATTGGCTCTAGCAATTTGACTCCTTTTATCACAAGTTCTCAGTGTTTTCCAGGTGACTCAAACTCTTCGAAACGCTCGTCACTCGATCGTCGCTTCGAAGCCTCGTCACTCCAAGAATGGGAATCGTGTGAGCATCAACAGCAACCCTCATGCTCCAAAAAACCTCCAGCAACCCCGAAAAAGAGTCTCTCCTTGCGGTTTGCAAAGTGAGTTTAAAAAGCGTGGAAAGTTTTCAAGTTTTCACAGAAGCGCAACACTCTAATCCCCAGATCTCATCGTCAGTTTTCCGTATTTTCTCTGGTGACGCCACCGGTGGTTGTGCTTTTACAGCTTTCAAGCTTTCACAGAAGCTCAACACTCTAATCCCCAGATCTCTTCGTCAGCTACATTTTCCGACCATCTAATAAGCTCTAATAGGCGCTCATCAGGGCTCTAATAAGCGCTCATCAGCGCTCTAATAAGCGGTCCTCGAGATTTCGAAGAATTTAGGCGAAGCTTAAGTTGCACTAATTTTAGGGAAAATACGGTATATCATTCTTTTTTTTGAATTTGTTTGCCAACTTGAACCCCAACAATTCCAGAGGGATATTCTCACGAAAAGATGGTCGTTGGCGGGTGTTCGGTGATCGAAAAACGGATTCTCCCGGCTTGGTCCACACAACGGGATTGATTCTAGAAGAAAGGCCCTCAAATCTCCCACAAAAGTCCGAAGAAGAAGCGGCAAAACATCGATTACTCTATGAACAGTTATTGGAACAGGTTTGTATAGAAAAAATCTACTATCTATAAAGCAGAAGAGACGTTTGTCTGTCTGTCTGTCTATCTGTCTGTCTGTCTGTATGCCTGTCTGTATGTCTGTCTGCCTGTCGTCTTCGTTCCGTCTGTCTGTCTGCCTTCTGTCTTTTTGCCTGTCTGTCTGTCTGTCTGCCTGTCTGTCTGTCTGCTGCCTGTCTGTCTGTCGCCTGTCTGTCTTTCTGTCTATCTATGTCCAAACGCCACGCTCCGTAATTACGTTTGCTCTATCGGTTAAAAGGCGAAGCATTCAGCTTTTGCTCGCGATATTTTGCTCTTGGGGGTTTTCAGCTATGGAGAATCTGACTTTTAGATTCATTTTTAAAAAGCGAGCGTGGCTTAACAGGGGTTACGGTAGTTTTAGTCATTTGAAAGAAAGAAAGAGCGTCCCCAGCGGAAAGCGCGAACAAAGTGAGCCTTTTTCCCTGGCCTACTATATAAAAGAACAGTCTGTCTGTACCCGCATTTTCTCGGCCGTGTTTTGAACAATAAAACTAAAACTTCTTTAGAAAGCCTTAGAATATATTTTTGTTGTGCTATTTTGAAGAAATTTTCAAAAAATCAAAAATTGGTGAGAGCCCCGGGCGTCGAACCAGGATCGCGTGGGCTGTAGAAAAGCGTGCTCCCGACTGCGCCACGTTGACCTCAAAAACTCGACCAGAAAAACTCGCTATGAAGCGGGTTTTTCAGCTGGTATCAGAATAATTTCTGTCGCTTTTTCACTTAACTCCCTCTCCAGTAAGGCAGTTCAAATGTGTTGTGGTGTAGTGGCTAGCACGATGGCCCGGTAAGCGAAAGGTCACGGGTTCGAGTCCTAGCGGCGGCTTTTTTGATCAGCCTTAGCTGCAACCTTTCTTTAAGATCTTAAGATAAGATTTAAGTTACACAATTCTTTGCAAAAGTTTTTTTTAATATTTTAGGCAAAGAAAAAGGAGGTGAAGGTGGAAAAAGAGAGGCGGAAAGCACTAGAGGACAAGAAGAAAGCCGAAGAAGCGGCCGGGGTTGCGGCAAAGATTTGGATTGAAGAGATATTGCCACACTGGGGGACACTGTGAGTTTACAAATGTTTACAAATGTTTACAAATGTTTACAAGTGATCCTGTGTTTACAATAAATCTATAACCTTTACGACAAGTGCATTCTAGCAAACAGCTTTTGTTTTCTGTGGTGTGAAATCTCGGGATTTCCCCACTAAAGAAAGGCAAAGTCGTTCGCTAAAAAAGTGGCTTGTTGGTAGACTGGTACAAGTATGGTAGACTTAAAGTTACTGGAAGGTTACTGTAGGTTGCTGCAAGTTACTGTAAGGTTAATGTAAGTTACTGTAAGTTACTCTAAGGTTGCTGTAAGTTGCTGTAAGTTACCCTAAGGTTACTGTAAGTTGCTGTAAGTTACTCTAAGGTTACTGTAAGTTGCTGTAAGTTACTATAAGCTTACTGTAAGTTTCTGTAAGGTTACTGTAAGTTGCTGGAAGCTTACTGTAAGTTACTGTAATAGATTTCTGTAATCTTATTCGTTTATAACTTCTGTGACATACTGTAACTTCAATAAACACTTTTCAAGTGCTTTTAGCATCTTGTAAACTATAGAAATTCAAGAAATTCTTGAAAATGACCTCATTGACATTGCCCTGAAAATGACCTCCTTTTCATTCAAATATCTCTAGATCCGATTCGAAAAAGTGTCGCGATTTATGGTGGAAAGGAATCCCGGGGAAAGTTCGCGGAAAAGTTTGGTCATTGGCAATTGGGAACTCGTTGAATATCTCGGAAGGTAAGGGAGAACTCTAAGCTCTGAAATCTGTAACTCTAAAATCTTATAATAATACTTTATTCAAACGATAAAGTGAAAGAAATCATAGAGAAGTGCACAGCGATACTTAATCATACAATACATACTGAAATCAATAAGCCAATTACTTACGGCAAAGAGCCACTAGATCTAAAGCATCGATACGTTTCTTGAATATGAAAAGCGACTGAATTTCTCGTATGTCGTTTGGGAGCAAGTTCCATAATCTAGCGGCTCTAACGGGAAATGAATTTGATAAAGAGGCATTGGAAGCAAAGGGAATTTGCAAAAGGAATGAGCCACTTCTGGGCCCTGACCGCGGTTTAAATTTGAAAAAGTCTATAAAAAAGGGCTAATCTGTTTACAACGGAGGATTTTGAAAGTTTCGACTAAATCAATGACAAAGCGACGATGCTGTAAAGTTTTTAGTTCAAAAAAAGCAAGTCTCTCCTCATAAGTAAAGCTAGAATATTTAGAATAGTATAACTAAACTAAAAAACTTATAACTAAAAAAAAAACTTCCTGAATACCGTAATGTTTATACCACAAAAATACTGAATACCAAAAATGATGAAGCCAAGAGCTAAAAAGTTGCACTAAATCGTGAGTTTTTACGTAAAATCTCTGAAACTTTGCCATAAAATGCAAATTCCATAAACGCAGATATAGAAATGAGTCAAATTGAATTCCCTTCACTTATCCGCCTTTTATTCAAATAATTACAATATCTTCTTTCAGAGCTTCACAACATTTGCTGTCAGCGAGCGAAGTTGAGACTAGCTGGCGAGAATGAGACTGGAGAGAGTAAAGGTAACCAAGCAAGACATTACTTTCAATTAAATAAGGAATGGGAAAGAAGGATTTCTGGGAACGAGGGATTTCTGGAGAGGGGATTGAACCCTCGACCTTTTTTCTTTCCAAGCAGATAGAGCATCTGCTGAATGGTTAGAGCAACCATTCAGCTACCATTCAGCTATCCGATATCTTCTTGTCAGAGAAGAAAGAGGAAAGAGAAAGAGAAAGGAAGAGAGTAAGGAAGAAAGAGAAAGAGAAAGGGAGAAAGAGGAAGAGAAGGGAAGAAAGAGAAAGAGAAAGGGGGAAAGAGGAAGAGAAGGGAAGAAAGAGGAAGAGAAAGGAGGAACGAGAAAGAGAAAGGAAGAAAGAGAAAGAACTAGCTCTTCACAATTGTGCCGACAGCATAGCATAGCCGACAATCAATTCTAGCAGCCAAATCCAATTCTGATAATCCAATCCAATCCAAATCTTCCTGTATCATCTCCGAAATTTCCAGAAGCTCGCTACAATCGTGAGGCCTCAATGGCGCAAATCCATCTCGACGTCTCGCGCACTTTCCCAGCTCTCGGAATCTTTCAAAATGGCGGCCCGTATCACGATTTATTGCATAAGTTGTTAGGTGAGTCATTGAAATGTTAAAAAATGATCTTTTGAAATAAATCACACATCAACTCACTTCAATACTTTTCTCATAGACAAAGTAGAGAAAAGTTGAAACGCCCACGTCCATTTTGGTTCTCGAACCTAATATTTCTTTCAGCTACGTGCAATTTTCATTTATCATTTTAATAGAAAAAGTATGAAAGCCTTAATAACTTGAGGATTATTGAGAAACTAAAATAAAAGTATTCCTCAATTCCACGATGGAGCAGGAGCTGAAGCTTTCGACTAAACTTGGATCTGCTTTTGCCCGAGCTTTTCAAATGACTTCAAAATCCAGTCCAATCCAAGGTAAAAGCCAAGAAAAGTGGGTGAAGCTTGGCTTTTTTTGGTTTAGCCCTGGTTTGCGGTCGATTCTACCTACTTCGGTCGGTCGTTTTGCGCTACGACGTAAACTCAATCGATTTGGCACACCCAAATCTCACGATACCAAACTGCTGCTGCGAGAAAAATGAGGAATTCGATGTGCCAGATCGTTTTAGTTTACGTTGGAGCGTTGGAGCGCAAAGAACCCCTAAGCCTAACCCTAATTTTAAGAGAAATCCCCTTCCGTAAGCATATCGAGTTCCCTTGTAAGCGCAAAGTCGACCATAAAAGTTTATAAGCTTTCACAGAATCCAGAACATTCACCATTCTTTTTTTTTCCAGGCGCCTATGCTTGCTATCGTCCGGATGTGGGCTACGTGCAATCAATGTCATTCATCGCCTCAATTCTTCTCCTCCAAATGGAACCATTCCCAGCATTTGTCGCCTTCGCCAACCTGCTCAATCAACCGCTACAGGTAAAACGATAAACAGCCATCGTTTACAAACTCACCATTTCCTCTTTTAGCAATCGTTTTTCCGACTAAAACAACCCGCAATGACCGAATATTTCATCGCATTCGATCTCTTCTTTCAACAAGAACTCCCGGCACTTCATGCGCGCTTTGATGAGATCGATTTAAGGCCGGATATCTATTTGATTGAATGGTGAGATTCATTTCTTTAAAATACATCCAAATCTCGTACAATCTGGTACGAAAAGCGGGTCAATAACAGAATTTTCGATTAGCAATAGACTTTCTCAAAGAGACACATCAAAAAATCCAATCGCCCAACAATCCAGGCACTCGATTTAGCCTCCAGTCTTAGGGATTTCAATGAACTTTTTTTTAAGGTTAAAGCCAAGATTCTAAGCTATCTAATGACACCAATTACTTTTATTTTTCTTTTGAAAAAGTCGGTCAAAAACCTTATCAAGACAGAACGAGACAATTCCTCGTTATCTTTTCTCGATAAGGTTTTTCGTTCACTTTTTCAAAAGAAAAATAAAAGTGATTGGTGTCATTGGATAGCTTAAAAGCTTGGCTTTTAGCTCAAAAAAAGTTCATTAAAATCCATCAGACTGGAGGCTAAATCGAGCACCTGGAGTTGCGGAGACCCATTTTCTGATTCTCGTTTAAAATAATTGGTACAAAAAGTCAATTTCAATTTAAAAAGGCATTCGATTAACGTTTAAATATTTCGCAATTTAGGATCTACACAATGTTCGCAAAATCTCTGTCCCTTGATGTCACTTGTCGTGTTTGGGATGTTTTCTTTCGTGACGGCGAAGAGTTCATCTTCAAGACGGCTCTCGGTAAGAATTTCAGAGATACGATTAAGTCTAATCGCTATAGTATTGGGTTGTTGTAAAAGTTGTAAAAGTTCGCGGTCACTTGTAGAGAAATTCAATTTCTATTCGGAAATAATCAAGAAAAATCACCCTCATAAGGACATTAACTTTTCAAAGTAGATTCCGTCGTTCTCTACGATCTTCTGCCATCTATGAGCAAGTTTTCGGATCTCCTCGAAGTCCCAAGCCTCCTTTGAATCAAAGAACTATTTCCTCATACCCATAGGTATACCCATGAGGTCCTGTACTAATTTTAGTGCTATCTTCCTCATACCCTTACCTCGAGGTGGACCCATACCCATACCTCGAGAGATACCCATACCCATACCTCGAGGTAGAGCCATACCTCGAGGTAGAGCCATACCTCGAGGTAGAGCCATACCTCGAGGTGGACCCATACCCATACCTCGAGAGATACCCATACCTCAAGAGATACCCATACCTCGAGGTAGACCCATGCCTCAGGTATACCCATACCCATACCTCGAGGTAGACAAAGACAAAGACTCCTTCAACTTCTTGTCTTCAAAATTAAAATCACCGTCATTGAAGCGTTTGAAGCACTCGATCGCAGCTTTGCCAACAGTTCCTTCGCCTTCCACCTCACAAATCACTTCAGCAGATCTCGCCGATTCCAATAGTTCGATTCCGATTCCCGAGCAAAACACGAAGTTCACTTTTATCTATCTAAAGATGTGGATTGTGTAAAGTAATTTATATAACAAAAAACAAACAAACAAAACTTATTAAAACAAACTTAACAAAACAAAGCCTGCAAGAAAACAGGCTTTTAAATAAGCCAAAAACCATAATAATTCATTGACAAAATAATTAAATAATTAGAACTTTTCTGCAAGTGACCGCGAACTTTTTGAACAATCTAGAATACAAAAATTACTTATGGGGAATAAGGATAAAAGTTTTAAAGTTAACAAGGAAAGTTAACAAGAAAAATCAAGGCCAGTATCAAGCTTTCAGGCATTCTCAAAATGTACGAGGAGTTGCTGATCGGAATGGAGTTCGATGTGGCTGTGGGTTTTCTGACGAAATTGCCCGACACGATCACTTCGAATGAATTGTTCCGGTAAGCTGGAATCCTGATCGCCTTTTATATCAAATTAGTCTGTAAATTAGCATTCAAGAACTTCATTTTCAATTCTAGAAACATCGACTACTTGATGCGAACGAACGGGAGCTCCGAGAACGGAAAAGGCCGCAAGAAGTTCAATCAGGTGAGACAGAAATGTGAAATTTTCATTAATTTCCATTAATTTCCATTAATTTCCATCATTTCTTCACAAATCCCACTTTTAGCCATTAACAAAACAGTTTTAAACCTTAGAATTATCTAAAGATTCCTATTTTTCAATTTCCAGATCCTCCAAGAGGTGAACGAGCGAATTTGCGGCTCTTCTAACTTCAATGGAAACACTCCATCAATTCATCAAATCACAGAAAACCTCCAGGGAATGAAGATGAGCAAAAGCCTATCGGAATTCGTCAACGATTTGCTCAAATCCCCATAAATTCTTTTGCAAAAAAAGGAAAATCTTCGAAGCAAGAGGAATCGAACCCTCAAGCTTCGGCCCACCGTCACCCAACGTCTTAACCATTGAGCTATCCACGACACGTTTCTCGCTCTCTCAAAAACCTTTCTAGTGCCATTTCGTGTAGTCGCTACTCTTGTTCTTTTCTAAATTTCGATCTCACGACGAGAAAATGAAGCGTCTCTACTATACCGTTTTCTCTCTCGCGTCGCCTAAATTCCTCGAAATCTCGAAAACCGCTTACCAGAACCTATCGATGTGGGGTCGGAAAATGTAGCTGACGATGAGCTCTAGTGGGGGATTTGAGTGTTGAGCTTCTGTGAAAGCTTGGGAACAATAAAATAGACACCAACTCGGCTCGCCGGGGCGCACGACTATTAGAGAAAATACGATATATGAAAAAAATAATCGCTGTCCGTCCGGCGTCCCCTTCGAGCATTTTAAAAAACGCTGAAACACGTGTTTAATGAAATTTCATGTGCTCTTTCTGCAAATTCTGCAAAAAAGTCAAAATAGGTGGTCACTGGCGGGGGTCGAACCCGGGTCGTCTGCGCTTGAGCGCGTTGTCCACTGCGCGGAATCCACTGCGCGTAGTCCACTGCGCGTAATCCATTGCGCGTTATCCATTGCGCGTAATCCACTGCGCGTAGCCACTGCGCGTAATCCACTGCGCGTTATCCAACTGCACGTCATCCACTGGGCGTAATCCACTGCGCGTAGCCACTGCACGTTATCCACTGCGCGTAATCCATTGCGCGTAATCCACTGCGCGTTATCCAACTGCACGTTGTCCAACTGCCCGTTATCCACTACGCGTTATCCACTGCGCCAATGCAATGCAATTTGCAACGCTAAAATTTGCACGATGAAGTTTTCCAACACAGGGATTTCGTTCCTGGCAATCATTTTTACGATCGCTGAAGCAGACGGGGTAAATTTTTAAATTTGAGCTTTAATCGCAATTTGGAAAATTTCCTTTTTCGGAATCCAATCAAATTCACAATTTTCCTCAGAAAAAAAAGCCCAATTTTCATAGAATTTCTTGGAAGAAATCGGAAAATTTCAATTCGGCGATTCAATCAAATTTTCGCGTCTTGTCAACCTTTTTTTCACTCAAAACAAACGGAAAACTAGTGAAAATTAGTAATTTCGACTTACAATCTCCTAGCTGAATAGCTTTTAGTCAATAAAACATAGTTTTCTTTTGACTTTTAGCTAAATTTGGCTAGATTTGGTTGGATTTGGCTAGATTTGGTTAAATTTGGCTAGATTTGAGTAAATTTGGCTAGATTTGGTTAGATTTGGCTAAATTTGGCTAGATTTGGCTAGATTTGGCCGGATTTGGTTAGATTTGGCTAGATTTGGCTAGATTTGGTTAGATTTGGCTAGATTTGGCTAGATTTGGTTAGATTTGGCTAGATTTGGCTAGATTTGGTTAGATTTGGCTAGATTTGGCTAGATTTGGCTAGATTTGGCTAGATTTGGGTAAATTTGGCTAGATTTGGTTAGATTTGGCTAGATTTGGCCGGACTTGGTTAGATTTGGTTAGATTTGGTTAGATTTGGCTAAATTTGGCTAGATTTGGCTAGATTTGGCCGGATTTGGTTAGATTTGGCTAGATTTGGTTAGATTTGGTTAGATTTGGCTAGATTTGGCTAGATTTGGCTAGATTTTTGCTATACTATATAGATCTTTCTAAATTTACTGAATTTTCGTTCTTAGACGCGCAAAAGAAAGTCATCGTGAGGTCGAGATTTGGCGAATTACTTGCTTAAGCCTTTTGATTTTGATTTCTTTTGATTTCTTTAGATTTTAATTTCTTTTGATTTTGATTTCTTTTGATTTCTTGCCTGAATTTCCCCCCCAAAGAACACTCGCATTTACATTCAAAAACGTTGCTCCAATTACCGTAATTTGTCTTATATCCTTTGTCTTATATCCTTTTTCTTATATCCTTTTTTGCTTTGATTGAATATCATTTAAAATCTCTAATCGAAAGTCAATTCTAAGAATTGTCCACGGATTTCCCAAGGGATTTCCGAATCGCAAAAGTGTTTCCATTTCATTTCATTTCATTAAACACACGTATTTTTCTTCCCGTTTTCAATTGCAATCGTGAAAAAGAATGACGAAATTTTCTTATTTTCCCATTTTTTTTGTATTATAATTGTTGCAATCGTTTCGTTATTCATTGTTTTTTTTTGAATTTTTCTCTTCTCAAAAAGTGCCTGAGATTTACATGACTTTCTTGTTGTTTTTTGTCTTTTTTTTCTTCTTTCTTTGCTTTTCCATTTATGCTTCCATTTGGGTGCTCGAATTTATGAAGGCTTTCATTCGTTTCTTTTCACTGAATATCATTTGATTATGAGCGAAATCGCAATCCTTTTTTAGCTGGCTTGAACCACAGTGGCCAGAGCTTCCTGAGCTTGAGCTTCCTGGCAAGGGAAGGTGAACTGGCTGAGCGAAATGCTATGCGATCTATACCATTTGACGTAGAATTTTATGCTGATTCCGAAAATGTATTCCATTTTTGCTAAATAACAATCTGCGAGGAGTTATAAGCGTCTGAAGTTTTGTTAAGAAATTGTGGTCGTTTGGGTCTTAGCGGCATCCTCTTATCGGCCTCCTTGCTGGCTCGACTTGGTGCGGCTGTGGCCGAGTGGTACATCGTTGTGCGGAAACTAAATGCTTTAAATTGCGTGAGAGGCTACTGGCCGCCCTTCGTGGGAACTGACGAACAGTTGATGGCGATTGCTCAACATTACCTTATGGCTTTATATATGGAAAGCAATGTGCCAGATGGAAAGCGATTATGCGCGCGCACAAAGGACAGCCAGGACACTAGCCAGCAGACCTTGAAAGCAAAATATGAATCTAAAGTGGGGATCGAACTTGCGAGGACTCGCTCTGGAAACGAACGCTCTACGACTTAGCCACTTAGCCAGCTGCAATGGAGCGGGCCCGCAAGGAGGTCGATAAGAGGAGGCCGCTAAGATCCAAATGACCACAATTTCTGAACAAAACTTCAGACGCTTATAACTCCTCGCAGATTGTCATTTAGCAAAAACGGGATACAGATTCGGAATCAGCATAAAATTCTGCTTCGAATGGTATAGGTTGCATAGCATTTCCCTCAGCCAGTTCACCGTCCCTTGTGGATTTAACAATTTATGACTGGTTTTCAAGGGTACTGTAACAGTCAGACTACCGTATACCGAGCTAAAATAGCTTTTGCGATTTTGTCTATCTTTTACATTTCTTCGAGACGACTACGATAATTGGGGTACTTTTTAGAAAAGAGTTTTTCCCTAAAAAGTTGCCCAGCTACCGGGAAGATTGCGGTGACTGGGCTCTTCTTGACAACAACCTTTGTCTCAATTCGACGAATCGTATAGAGAACAACCTTTGTCTCGAGTAACTGCCCCAAATACCGTATTCATTATTTGGAAAGACTACGGTAGCTGGGGCACTTTTTAGGGAAGAGTCTTTTGTCTTTTTCTTTGCTCTAAAAGTCGCCTGCCCCAATTACCGTACTCTCTCGTGGAATTGATGTTTCAACTTTGTGCCAGATTCATTTGTGCGTGTCGATTCTCTCAAAGATTTTGCAGAAAAATAAAAGAAGTTACAACTTTGCAAAAACAAAACCCAGCTTTTCTTCGTTTTCAGGGTTTTCCCACAAAATTAGCGAGAAATTTTGTGAGCCAGAAGCGTTTTGCGGTGATTTTTGGAAGAGCGCTTTTGTTTGGGAATCTTCCGCGGCTTTTCATCGAACTTGGAGAGACTTTCGGAGCTGCTAATTTCTACAATTTTTCTAATTTCTAATTTCCACAAACAAAAGGTATAAATGTAACTTTTCTGGCGCTTTTTTCTCGCACTCCTGAACATCGACTGTTCAGTTTTCTGACAATAGCTCAACATTTGTTGAAAAGACCCTTTCCTTTGTCTCTGGACACTCAATTTGTCGTTTCCTTAATCGCTTCTGCACCAGAAAACGTGTGTTTACACATTTTTAGAGCGCTTCAAAGATTTTTCTCTTTTTCTTCATTGAATCTTTACATTCAGAACTTTAGCTATTGATCTTTTTTTGTCTAACTTGGAGTCAGGACGGTCAGCCAGTCAGCCAGTCAGCCAGTCAGCCAGTCAGCCAGTCAACCAGTCAGCCACCAAGAATATCCAATCGAATCGTACAAGCTCTCACTCAGAGTGGCACTCTCGTCAAACTTTTTTGCTTCTTTAAACTGTTTTAAACTGGTTCCCTACGTATTTACAAAGAAGAATCGAGTTGAATTTTATGTAGCTTTCAGAAATTTGATAATAAATGTTAAATTCAACTATCGGCTAGCAAAATGCCAACTTTGAAGGCTTCTAAAGGCTTTAAATAATTATAGACTCAAAAAGCGGATGGAAATTTGGCAAAAACATCCAGTTTTTGATCTCTTGAGTATATGTGTATAAAAACTCGAGTCAATAATTCAATGCAAATACGTAAGAAAACCGTTTTTTAAAAAAGCAACAAAGTTTGGCGAGAGTGAGACTCGAGCTTGAGGGCAAAAACAATGTTAAAGGTTTGGTAGTCTAGCAGACTATCCACTAGACCACCATAGCCGTTTGTAGAAAAGCGTGTGACGAAGCTAAGGAGCTAAAGGGCTTAAAATTCTATGCCAAATCCTAAATTCTATTCTATTCTATGGTGATTTTCTATGCGAAATTCCTCGAGTTTGCGAAGCGTTCTGCAAAAACAAAAAACTATTAGGTTGGTGCAGATGAAACTTCCGTTGGAACCATAAACAAAATTTATTATAAAAATCCTAATACAGAACCTCAATCCAAAAGATATTCGCCATCATTATCAATGACTCTTTGCCATCTTCCACGCAGAGAATGGATGCCCTTTTCGAAGAACTCGGGCAACTGCGACTCGAAGAAGTTGGACACCCAGATCTCAACTTCTTCGCGGTTTTTGAATTTTTTTTTCT